ATTGATTCTTCCAGAAAAGAAAAAAAAAGGCCTTTTGGGTCAGGGGCTTGCACAGCACATAACCTTGGAGGGAAAAGGGACACACAGGGGGGAAACTGATCAGATGCATGGCTTCAAGTTCCCAATCTTTACAGCCAGCCTGGAGCAGCGGTCAGCTTCCCACTGAAAGCCATACACAAGGCTCGCCTTCTGTCTCGACTCACGTGCTGCAGAACCTGCGTGGACTCTTACTTTCTGAGGAGAAACTGTGTCACTTGACTTCCTTCCAGTGGACGTGTTCCAGCCAACAAGTAAAATGCTTGAAGAACCAAAAGGAATTACTACCCAGAAACAGCAGTCAAAGTTCCAAAATTTGATCAACGAAAATTGCTCATCTATTGAACTAATTGCTGGCCAGCAGAGCCTCTCGCTTTGGAGGTTATGAACACACCTGCACTGTTAGGCATTTCTTTCACTTGTTTAAGCAATCTTCAGAAGTATATAAATATTTATAAAAGGCAGCCTACTATTTTTACCCACCGCTAATTTTTTTTGAGCAAAATCAAATTAATTCATTAATAGCTGCAGAGCATCCTGAAGGCAAGGTCTGTGTCAACAGTTTAGGGTCCTGTGAGCACCTGCCCAGCACCCAGCACACTGAGCCTCTTCTGAGAACGTTCACCAGAATGAGTTTAATGAATTCAGATCATTCTGATTGTGAATTTAAGATGGAGCCAATTTTCAATTTCCATTTCTATCATTCATAAAAGAAATCTGCAAGGCAAATTAACAGTGTAAGCAAAAAGACAATGTAAGATGATGAGTGGAATACTGGTCAGGAACCCCCAAAAGTGGCCGATCCACCTGGCTCATGCCTTCTTCTCCACCAATTAGCCCGGCGGTGTCCTGAGAACTCGGCACCCGGCGTCGGGTGGCACGCCTCTGCTGCCTGTGTTTCTCTGCTGCTGAACTTAGTCCACTTTGGTGTTGTCTGACTTGGGTTCACGATCTCCGTCTCCATCGAGGAACCCCTTGTAGCCTCCTCTCACTTTCCCTTTTCTTTTGTGTGTCTCAGCAGCCTGTGCAACTAAAGTGTGTTGCCAGACATGAAGTGGAGACCAGTGAGATATGCTTAAAATACGAGCCGTAGCATCTCCGGGAACTTAAGGATTCTTTCCCCTTCTCCCCCGCCCCCATCTCAAGTTCTCAGCAGATCAAATCCTTCCCCATCAAGGCTTCCTCTATGCAGATCTGAAATCTGCCAACATGGGTCTCTGAGTAGAGCTGTAGAGGGTAAGGAAATCAGAGAGGAACACTGCAGAGTAGCAGGGGGATTTCCTTTTTATTGCAGACCTACTCTAGGCGAGGTGCCTAGTAAGGACAAGGCATGCCGAGAGAGACTTCAATGTCAAGGTTATTCCTTCCAAGTCTACATACATCTTTTTATAACAAGGTGATAGACCATGTAACTGACATTAGTAATTTCTCCTGTCAGTAGAAGGCCAGCTAAACTAATAAGGCTTACTACTGGATTCCAGTGACCCTGGTCAGGACACAAAGACAGCACACACATCCACACATATGCATGCATACCCATACATGCACAACAGCCCTCAAAAAATCAATGTAAATTCTCTACTTGTCAGTTCTATCCTGATGGCTAAGAAACTCAGCATGATGATCTTAGCAGACTGGCCTTCTTCTCCTTCCATCCTTCCTGTATAGACTGAAGTGTAGAGCACATCATAGTGGCTGTCCCATTGCCCCAGTCATGATCCAGGACATGTTACTTGTCAGACTCTTTGGCTTGGTTGCCAAAATCCTTAATGGTCAAGAAGAAATAGAATCCTCAAAACGAAATCCCCTGAAACTTTACTTCACATATCTAGTCCTAAGTAACCTCTACCAATTACCCTAAATGCCATGTTTTAAAAATGCAAGTACTGGGGCTGGAGAGACAGCTCACTGGGAAAGGGCTTCCAGCAGAGCAGCTGAGTTCAGATCCCAGCACCCATGTCACAATGAGGCTCAGAGATTTGCAAATGTAATCCTAGTCTGAGGAGGAGGAGACAGGCGGATCCCTGGAGCTCAATGGCAAGCCACCTAACTGAATCAGTGGATTCAAATTCAGTGGGATATTGTGGCTCAGAAAGTAAGGCAGAATGCCGGCTATGGTGAGGTCACCCTTTACTGCTGAGGAGAGCGGATTTCTGTGAGTTTGAGGCCAACCTGGTCTACCTAGCAAGTTCTAAGCCATCTAAGGTTGTAAAGTCTCTCAAAAACAAACAAACAAACAAAAAACTGTAGAGCTGGACAGATTAACACACTCAGTATGCAAGACACACACACACACACACACACACACACACACACACACACACACACACGTACAAGGGAAAACAAGTCCAGTTTATTTTTAATCATAAATGGTATTCAACTCTACAGCACTATGACTAGACAGTGTATTTGTACATTTTTAAAAACTTAACACCAAAGCTGCACTGTGGATGCCGCCTTCCCAATACTATATTGTCGTCTTCCCAATGCACTTTGAGGCCTGATAAATTCAACAGGACTCCTAGTATTTTCAAGGCTGTGAGAGGCTCCAAGAAGGAGGCCAAAGAATGGACAGGCATTTGAATCACTGAGTGACAGGCTGGGCCAGCTCCCTGTATACATTAATAAATTAGAATTTTAATTGCGTCTCTGTCTGCAGGAGATGCCCTGGTACTTTAATATGTACCAACAATTGGCTATGTTATGGAATCTGCAATGTGGCCTCCGCTGCTGACCCCTGAAACACAATTCCCAGACTGACTACGGAAACTGTTCAGTTTGATCCTTTCAACTTATTTGAATCCTGACAAATAAGCTCACGGCTGAAAGGTCAACACAGTCATATTTCATCCTCCTGAGCTGTTCTTAAGACATCTGCACAACAAAGCCCTTCTTACAACACCTGACATCCACCCTCCACGGCACGGCACCTCATTATAACTGGCTCCCGCACCCGCGCCCACATGGCGGGTAAGAGGGTGTGAGTTGCTGGTAGTTTACCAAACAGCTGTCCTTGGAAGAGTTTGTCAACAGTTCACACGGGTATTCAATTTGCCCAATAACCTGTCACTGGAAGGTTTGACTTTTTTGGAAGAGGGACAGTTTCCCTGACACAGCAAGAGAACCAGAATGGGTGTACCAAGGACAGGACAATCTGTGCAGGACACTTTGGAAGTAGGCATCAATTTATCCTAACCCATGGAGAAGTCAACACATGTAGATCCCACACTGACTAGCAACACATTGTGTCACTGCTCATCACAAATTGTTACAAAATTTCCAATGAGAAACCCATCCTTAGCCTCCATTGTGTGTGTGTGTGTGGGGGGGGGGGGTACCTAATGCCTATCTTCTACTTTGAATGTGGGCATAAATACCTGACTCAAGTTTCTTTGAAATTTCTACTGCAATTTTCTACTCCAAGACCCAAATCCAAATTCAATTTTATGAGCTCACGCCTCTTTCTACTCTATTAACCCCTTGGCCTCGATGAGCCAGAAATGAGAAGTGGTTGAAACAATCTTCTTTTGTTATCATTTCATAAAAATTGTTCCCCGTTTTCAATTAATGATTCAGAAACATTCTGCAAACATCTACTGAAGGAGGGCATGTGTTCTATTATACTCATTACCAGGTATAATATCAGAAGCACTACATCCTCCTGGGGCCAAATAGAAGCTCTTGACACTGCAGACATCTGGAGCTGCTAAGTAGCACTCCTTTTTGGAGGGTGCACTGGACGCTGGGGAATGATGAACAGCCTCCTTGGTCCAAAGCCCATGAGATGTCAGGAACATCTCTGCACCCTTGTCCCCTAGTTATGAATAGCAAATACGTCTCCAGAATAAGGAACTTTGTATGTTCTCAGTGGGGAAGTCAATTAATCTAGCCACTATGAAAAGTATGGTGAAGGGTCCTCAAATAGTATGAGGATCCACAAAAAAACGAAAACCAGAACCATCACATGATTTAGCCAGACCATTCCTGGGTGTAAGCCATGGGAAATGAAGTCAGTTGTGGTGGTCTGAATGTGGAATGTCCCCCACAGTCTCAGGCATTTGAGGCCTTGCTCCCCAGTTGGTGGCATTGTTTGTGGAGGTTTACGTGGTTCAGCCTTGCTGGAGGAATTATGTCCCTGGGGCCTGGCTGGGAGATTCAAAGCCTTGTGCCATTCCAATCACACTCTTTGCTTCATGCTCAGGGCTGAAGACGTCCTGCCAAGTCCGATACTTGCCACCATGCCTCCCAGCCATGATGAACTCTTATCCCTCTGGAATGGTAAGCCCAAATAAACTTAGTCATGCTGAAGTTGCCTTAGTCATGGTGCTTTACCAAAGCACCAGAAAATAAATAATATATTGGCATATATACTGACAAGATAGCCACACGCTCATGATACCTAAGAAGTGGAGCTGTCCTATGTGCCTATCACCAGATAAGTGGATTAACAATAATGGAGTCATTTCATCCACAAAGAACGGCTCCCTGTCGTTTGCAGCAAAATGGTTGGAGATGGAAGATGTATCAGTGATGGAAGTAGCTGGACTCAGAGAGGTAAGTAGGGTCTGCTTGCTCCCATTTGTGAAAACTAGAAAGAAGTTAACCTGAAGGTAGGAAAATGGTTACATGGGCCTGGAAAGGGGGATTAGTGAAGTTGGATGGATGGATGTGATCAGTGCTACTTTATACATGCATGAGCCCCCTAGCATATGGAATTACGAGTTGAATTCCTCCCAACATTAAAAATTTGGCATAACACCCCCCCCCAAAAAAAAAAAAAAAACCAAACTTTAGGTCAAATAGATATTTTTCTTATGATGTCATGATTCAGCTCATAAACTAAAAACATATTTTGCACGAGGTGTCCCCAGTTCGTTTGCAATGGTCTCGCTAATCCACCTCTGTACAGCTTCTCAGCCATGGCAAAGGGCACAACAGGAATTTTTTGAAAAAAGCATCACTACCTGAAGAGCTGGTTGCTTATCATTCCTCTTGGGAGACTTTAGTCCACTAACTTGCTGCTGCTGCTGCTGCTGCTGCTGCTGCTGCTGCTGCTGCTGTTGCTGCTGCTGCTGCTGTTGCTGCTGCTGCTGCTGCTGTTGCTGCTGTTGCTGCTGCTGAAGGAGGAGCTGCCTTGCCACCTGCAGGGCCTGCAAGGAAAAGGGCAAGGCTTTATTCTCACATGTCTGGGGATTCCCTCCCCAAGAGGATCACCCGAAAAAACCCTTCAGGGCTGCTCCTCACTTGCTCATTTCCAGGCAAGGGAAATGGCCGATGAATCTTCTAGCCAGTCTACATAGAAAACGTCCCAGAATGCGCCTCCATTTCCTTTGATTGGATAAAATTACCCATGACTCCTTTGACACAGCATCTTATGGAAGGAGATACTTCATTCCCACTAAATAGCTGCCATGCCACCTGTAAGTATGAATGGCTGCTGTGGACAGATAGCAGAGTGGGGTCTGGGGGATGAGGAAAAGGTAAGGCTCAGGAGACAAGGAAGGGAGGGCTCTTACTGGAGATTCCGTATCCTACTGAATGTTTCTTGGGGAAACTTGGGAACTCAAGTTCTACATATTTTAATCTCACCTGCACCCAAATAAGGAGAAAGATCTGGGCAGTGGATCACAGGAAAATGAGACACCATAAGAACAATTTCCATAGAAAGCTTAGAACAGTTAGAAGTATATCTGGAATGATCTCACCAGCCCTGGGTTCAATTTCTAGTACCACATGAACTGGGCATGATAGCACACACTGTAATCCTAGCATTTAGGAGATAGAAGCAGAAGGGTCAGAAACAGAGGTCATCCTCAGCTGAGTGTGTGTGTGTGTGTGTGTGTGTGTGTGTGTGTGTGTGTGTGTGTGTGTTCCTAGCACACTGATTATGTGTAGATGTTCTTCTTCCCAACATGCAAACTTTTGGCTATGGTATCTCCAAAATATCTCAGAAGTTCAAGGTCATCCTCAGAGGTTGAGTCCAGCCTCAGATGCCCTATGTAGACCGACAGACAGAGTATAAAATAAAAGGGAAGCTTAGCAGAGGTGACCTGGGGTCACCTTAAACTTTTCACGATGGACCGGGAAACAAACTAGTTAGGCTAAAAGACTCTTTCAAGCTTTGAAAACGGGAAGGTTTTCATTCAAGGCAGCAGTTATTGAAGTGGTGTGAATTAGTAATAAGACGGAGGAAACAGAGGAGACCTCCAAAGGTTGAACATATGACTGGGTAGCCCTTTTTTAGTTCAAGTGAAGAAAGAAGTATTAGAAACATGGATATGGCCAGTATGAAGATATTCACTGTCATAAAACTAATAGCAGGCCACCATGCCTTTGTGCAAATGAGAGCAGGATCAGACATAGGAAACTGAGGTGTACAGGGACTACACCAGAAAATCACTTCAAAAGTCAGATTGCTTGGGTCCACTCAAATGAGAACCAAGAACACACATATGAAGAGTCAGAAAGGATGCTCACAAAACAATGTAGTCACACACACACACACACACACACACACACACACACACACACAAAAAAAAAAACCCTACTGCATATCATATAAAAATAATTTCTAAATATTAATTTAAATCAGTGTGTGTGTGTATGCAAATGCATGTGCAGCATGTATGAAAAGGTACCTGGAGGCCAGAGAGGGTATGAGATCCCTTGGAGCTGGAGTTACAGGAGACTGTGTGTTGCATGAGGTAGGTACTGGGAACGGATCTTAGGGTTCCCTGAAATTGCAGTCACTGCTCTTAACCCACTGAAACATCTTTTTAATTTCCTCCAAATATATGTTTTTTTAATGCAGCAACTTATATTATTTGTGCCTCAAGGAAGAGGCACACAGAGATGTGATCAATGCCCTGAACAAAATCTGATAATGTGGGCTTGGAAAGTGACCATGAAGGAATGCCATGGTACTGGCTTCCTTGGAGAAGCTCAGCAAGGTCACTTGGACAGTGAAGTAGACAGGTCTGGGAACACAGTACCAATGCTGAGGTCAGGATGGGTCAGAAGGCTAGGGCTCCCATGTTCTAGACTCATGCAAACAGGGAGATGAGAAGCAGTGGGGGGATTCCTGCACTTGGGCAGACATCTATAAAAGATGAGTGTGCAAAGGTGGACTTTCTTCTTAGACAAGCTCACTCAACAGAGCTCTAAGGTAATACTGTAACAAGAACTTTTAGGACACTTCTTACGACTGAGTAGTACCTCTTTGGCTAAGAGGTCCAGAGGGAAACAAACAGAAGCACTAATCAGCAGGAGACATCGGAAAGAGCTTAGTGGAGCCTGCCTGTGCCACCACCCAATGACATCCCCCCTCTTCCCCCAGGCTGGCTGCCTTCTGCTTAACTCACCCCCAAGATCCCTGCATAGGAAGTACTTGGGCTCTGTTGCCTAGAAAGGAGATGCATTGCCTGCTTGAAAGAGAGGCTGTCTCAGAGGGGCAGCTGGAAGGTAAGACGCCTGGCAGAGTTGCCTGAGACTCCAGCCTGCTGTCTCGGTAGAGGATTCACCATCTCTGGACTCTGGGTTTCCTTGTCTCCTTGGAGACGTTCAGTACATGTGTAGGCGGAAAAGTGGGCAGAGTGAAGATTTCATTTATATCATATAAGAAAAATAGTCCCCTGTGAAAGGTGCCTGCAGGAGCAAATGCCTCCCTTCTAGCCACATTCCCTTAGCGGTTTCACATAAAGTGCTCAGGCATTTCGTGCAGGACAGGAAACTATTCTACACCCCCAGCTTTACCATAAGACTCCCCTGGGTAAAGGCTAATTCCAAAAGGAGGCTCCAGCCAGTAAAAGATACTGCAGAGAAATACAGGAGGGAACATGAAAGACTATCCTATGTCCAGCACTGAGGCAGAGAAAACCGCAACTGCATCATTTCCCTGGATTCACAAGACACTTGAAGACCAGGCTTTGGACTTTCAAAGCTGAAGTCTCTAGAACCAATACAAGCTATTCCTCATCTCAGCCAAAGGGAAGGTATTGTATATCTCTATGAAAAAGCATTCATGCACACATAATGATTCTCATGAGTGCGCGCGCGCTCGCTCACACACACACACACACACACACACACACGTACGTCAGAAGACAGTGGAAAGAGCAAGCCAAAGTTTCCTTTGCAACCAATGTTGACTGAACAGGCTCTATAATATAGTCATTATACATTCAGAGTAAACTGTGGGAATCCTCAGGCTTATAATTTCAGGTGTGAACAATTTAATATAGCTGATGTCATTGTTGTTGTTATTATTATTATTATTATTACTGTGTGTATGATGGGTGTGTGCACCCATCTGAGGAGGTCAAAGGACATTTTGTGACCTCAGTTCTCTCCTTCACCTTAATGTCTGTTCCAGGGACTGAATTCAAGTCCTCAGGCCTGGGTAAAAAGGGCTTTTATCCACAGAGCTGTGCTGCCAACCCTGTGATGTCTTTTTCAGACTCAACATGGGGTATGTGAACTTAACTGCTCATCGGATGAGCCCCAGACTCCCCACACATGTCCCATGGAGCCTGACTACGGAAAAGGAGGGAAGACAGGAACACAGGGAAGAGCCGTAGGAATGGACGTGGGTGTCTACACAGGAAATGTCACTGAACCTATTGACAGACGGACAGACGGAACAAGAGCGAGCTGTACACAATGGCTTTGGGGGTTTAGTCTGCAAGTAAATAAAAACAAGGAAAGGAATTTCAAGTGTCTTGGATGGAGAGAACACTAGTGCAGAGAATGAATCTTTTGAGTATGAAACTGTTACAAATATTCCATGTTAATTCTCTTGCCTTATGAATATGCTAGCAAAGGTGGGGGGAAAATCACTCTCAAAAAATAAAACTGAAAACCAGCATGGGTCTCAACAAGAATTTTAAAACTTAATTGATGTGAATGTGTAATATGCTTGACATCAGACACTAAGGGGTGTTTCCACGAATTCCCTATTATCTAAACTTCTGCCATCTAGAGTTTGAGTTGTCACCCACAAAAGGGATCACAAAGCTTTAATGCTTAAGACTTTGGCTTCCACTAGGTATGACAGTACACACTTGTAATCCCAGGATGGAGGAGGTGGAGAGAGGGTGTCTTAGTCAGGGTTTCTAGTGCTGTGAAGAGACACGATGACCACGGCAACACCTATAAAGAAAACATTTACTGGGCTAGCTTAGTTTCAGAGGTTTAGTCCATTATCATTGTGGTGTTACATGGCGGCATGCAGGCAGACATGGTGCAGGAGTTGAGAGTCCTACATCCTGATAGGCAGGCAACAGGAAGTGAATTGTCTCACTGGGCATGCCTTGAGCATATATGATACCTCAAAGCTCCACTTCCCAGTATCACACTTCCTCCAACAAGGCCACACCTACTCCACAAGGCCACACCTCCTAATAGTGCCACTCCCTTTGGGGGCCATTTTCTTTCAGACCACCACAGATGAAGATCAAGAGTTCAAGGTCTTCCTCAGCTTGAGTGTTTATGGTTGATCTGATCTAAGGAAGATTTGGAAAGACTGCCCCACAGACTGGTGTTCATGATGCCTCCCAAATATGAGTCCTTAATAGCCATTCTGACCCACGGCGGCACATCAACACACATTGACACCCTTTAACTCGGGTCCCAGTACTTTAGCCCAGGAGATGATCTTTATTCTAGCATCACAGAGAAATGAGAAAGGACAGATCTTACTTGCCTACAGTGTCTCAATGACAACTGGAGAAAAGATTTTCATGTTCTGTTAAAAGATAAAACTGGGCTCACTGGAAATAGACTAAGTATGTAGATATGTGTCAGTATATCTATGAGAGAGAGATGGAGGACAGGAAGATGAGGAGGAAGAGAGAAGAGGAAGAGAAGAAGAGGTGAGAGCATTCATATGCAAGGACATGAATAAATCAAAGAACTTCTCTTTTACAGCACACAGCGCCGCTGGCTCATGTTCCACACCAAGCGTTAATGTAAATAACTTAAATGGCCCAATCCCATCTCTGGAGACCTTTTACTCTTGGTGGCTCTTCCTGGCTGGGTTGAATCAACACTTCCTTTATGAAAGATGTGACAATTGCTGGCACTGGATGACTCTGTGCTGTATTTGAGCACTGAGATCAGGTCACAATAAAGGCTCAGTTGGAGGGTGTCACCC